GACAGTGACATGTCTACCTCCTGGAGAGTGTTCTTCTCTTGGCTGGATGTTGTGAAAGGGTTTTCTTTACCATGGAGAGGATCCTCCGATCATCCACCACTGTTGTCCTCCGTGGACATCCAGGCTGTTTTATGCTGCTGAGCTCACTAGTGCGTTCTTTTTCTCTCAGCATGTACCAAAGTGTTGATTTGGCCATTCCGAATGTTCCTGCTATCTCTCTGATGGATTTGTTTTGTTTTTGAAGCCTAACAATTGTCTGTTTCACTTGAAATATCCTTTGACCGGATGATGTGGGTTCACAGCAACAGCTTCCAAATGCAAAATGGCACACTTAGAATCTTAGAACTCAAGACCTTTTACCTGCTTAATTGATGAAGAAAAAATGAAGGAATAGCCCACATCTGTCCATGAAATGGCTTTTGAGTCAACTGTCCAATTACTTATGGTCCCTTGAAAAAGGGGGAGGTACATATTAAAGAGCTGTAATTCCTTAACCTTTCCTCCAATTGTGATGAGAATACCCTCAAATTAAAGCTCAGAGTGTGCACTTTAAGCCCATATTCATGTAACTGTAACTTGAATATATTTTGGTCAGCAGCTAAAATAATAAAAATTTGTACCTTAAAAATTTGTAATATATATGGACCTGGCTGTATATCAATGAATGTATATCAGTATATCAGTGTGGTGCTCGTGCATTTACATGTTTAGCCAACAGCTATAACAAAAATACAGTGCAATTGAAATTTTAGTTCGGAGACAAGATACGTTTGTCTAATAGCCTCTAAACCGGCTTATAGTTACTGAGATGTAGCCATTGTGACGATCCCTGTGTGACAACTAGCCCCACTCTCCCCTACAACAGGAAGATGCAAATGAAAACATATTAAGTGAGCAATACCCACATTTACTGAACCGCGAGTATGACAAAAACACAAAACAGACAGATGTCAATCTGATGAGATAAACGGTCATACACCGAAATGCATGTAGTTGCACATATAGCCACCAGATATCGCTCGAACAAAGGGCGACAGAAACGGCAACTCTACCGCTAAAGTATTTTTGGCGCATCCGATTCGAAACCGCATCACACTCTGCTTTGGATAGAATTTGAACGACTTGTGTGAAAACTGGTTTACATGAACTAACATCAGCAAAGACGCCACGATGATCAAAGTGTTTAGCTGTGTCAGTATTACTCAAAGTTTGAATATGCTGAACGCACATTATGTAAAAACACTTTGTTATCAGTGTTTATTCTAGAAGGTGATCGTTTGGCTGAATAGGCAGTGCGAGGGCAGGTACACTCCCAATATGTCTATCACTAACATCCGCTTGATGATGGTGGGTTTAAAACAGCTCAAACCGAAGATAAGCGCAAGATAAGATCAGCTTTAGTCATTTAACTCATTAGCATTCTTTTCGAATGCTGAAGAATTCTAGAAATACTCGAGAGAGAGAAAGTCTTCCGCGGAGTGCCCTTGCACGGGCGCGCGCAGCAGGACACAGCGGCAGTGCGTGCGCGCGCCTTCCGCGTCTGATTGGTTCGCTGACAGTCAGCCAGCGGTGCGAACCGGACTTCATCAACGGACAGCGATCGGTATCAACCCAAACAGTGCTCTGCGGACCGGCTCCCCGTCTCGTTCCGTCGCCGTACAATTCCTCCGAAATGAATCCACTGTGTAGCAGATGTAACCGAGTGGTGTATCCCACGGAAAAAGTGAATTGCCTTGACAAGGTATGGCTAAGCGAAACTTAGCATTCGCTAGCAAAGCTTAACGTTACACCTCTGGCTGTGAGGATGGGGTATATTATATATATGTATGGATTTGTTTGTGTATAATACAGATTTTTTTTTTAATGTGGCTTAAAAGAGACTTGAGTTTCCGATGACTATTGAGAATGTGGGCAGAGCGGAAACGCGTAACGTTAAGCGAACGGGCTAGCAATGAAAAAGCCTCGATTGTGATAACTTCACAGCACGCTACAAGTTGTCCATCGTTTATTCGTTTTTCTCAGTGCGAATATCGTGTGATATCGACAGAAATGCCTGGCGGGAGTCGTTATTTTTCAAACCAACGCTTGTTCTTGGCCTCGGTCGCGAGGAGGAGGAGGAGGCGGTTTGTTTATGACGTGTCAGTGTGTCCTGTGGGCGACATGGACCCAAAAACCCCAAACCGCCCAAGTCATGCCAAAAGCTAACGTGGATATTATACTCTTATAACAACAGCCCCAAAACGGGTTTATACGCGCGGCTGGGTTTTTCACGATCTCGCTTTTTGTCATCCAGCCTGGTTTGCAGATGTGCAACTTCTAGGGTGTATAACGTTGAGGCCTGTAAAATAAAAATAAAAAAAAGAAAGAAACATGCGATTTTCGGGAAAATGTTACATGCATTGTTGAAATTTCACCCTAACGTTTACATGACGTGCACATCTAGCATGTTTACCAACTGGCCAGAGGAAGTGTTGCTTCTCGACACGCTTGTGAAACGTTTTCTATCCAGACCCCACCCCCTCTTAACCCATATCCTTATCGCTCTCGTTTTGAGTGTGGTGAAATCTTGAGTTTTGAATTGCTTTAGATGCTCCAGAGGGTGGGGTCGCCTTCTTTTATTTTCATGCAGCGCAAGTATTTGCGAGGGAGAGAAACTGGGGCGGAGTGATAACGCGTGCAATGGGCGTTAAGAGCACATTAATCGATTGGCCTTGAACGAAGCAGTTTGAGGAATGACTATACAGACCTGTAATGCGTGAATAAAGACGTGCGGTGTATCTAAGATTAAACGTGGGGGCGTTTGATGGCACACCTCCCACAGATGTTGTCACAAACAGCACTGACCGCACACACGTACACAAGTTAGTTCCCGTTCATTGCCTGGAGGAGAGGCGTCGCGCGCGTAAGTTGCTTCATACTGTCGTTTTGTTGAGGCATGCCGATGCTTCGCTCAGCTTGAAAAGTGGCCAACCATCGCTTGTCATTCTGCTTCAGTGCTTGAACTCATCAGCTGTCACTCTGGAGAACATCTCAGAAGAACGGCACCCAAAGAGAGGTGGTCTGGGTACTAATGTGTCATTTTAAGAGAGAGTGCCCCCCAAAAATGAATATTAACTCGTCCTTGTGGTGTTCAATAAGCATATGATTTTTGGTGTGGCACACAGAAAGAGAAGTTTAGCCAAATGACCAGACAGCCCTTTTCCAGACAATAGCCGTAGATAATGAATATCAAGCTTCAAAAAGAAAAACATCTTAAAATATTACCTTAGGTCAGTAAGATTTTTTTTTAGTTTGTTAGAAATTATTACTTTTATTCAGCTAGGCATTAAATTGATCAAAAATGGTAGTAATAATATTAAAAATGCTACCAAATATTTCCATTAAAAACTTATTTTGAACTTTCTATTCATCAGTGAATCCTAAAAAAATGTATCACACTTTTTTTGCACAAAAATATTAAGCAGCCTAATTGTTTTAACTTTGATAATGATAAGAAATGTTTCTTGAGCACTGAATAAGTATATTAGAATGATTTCTGAAGGATCGTGTGAGTAATGATGCTGAACATTCAGCTTCAACAAGTTTATACAGTACAAGAATAAATTACATTTTAAAATATATTAAACTAGAAAACAATTGTATTAAACTGTAATAATATTTCACAGTATTACTTTGTATTTACTGTATTTTTGAATAAATAAATGCGGCCTCTGTGAGCATAAGATACTTGAAAACATTAAAAAATTGTACTGACCTTTTGAATGGTAGTGTAACTGAATATCAAATCTACACAGTAGTGCATTTATGAGTAAATTGTATTAGAGGGTTTAAAGTAGATGTTTTTAGTATAATGCAAAGATGCTGCCATGCCGAACAGCATCAAATAAAGATCATTGCAGAAAATGTTGATATCATATACGGTGTGCTACAAATAACCATTGTCACTTTCAAGGACTTGATTGGCAATTTTGCATAATGCTTTGTATTTATCTATCAGTAAAACACTGTGTGCTGTACTATTGTAAGCTAATTTTAGTGTGTAGTCTATAGATAGAATATTCCATTAATTATTCCATTGTAATACATTAGGAATCTCTTATACCTCTCTACAGATCTTCCCTCATGTGCTTCTTCTGGTCTGTTTTCTTATATTTTCCCTGCTTCTTCCCTTCTAAACTGTTAGCAACAGACTAGATACCTAAAAAAGCATTTTGAAGTACGTGAGTGGAGGTGGGGGGTTAGTTATTTTTGGGTATGAACGGAATCTCTGCTCAAGTCTGTGCTAGCAGCTTCCTCTCCCTGGGAGTGCAGTATAGATGCATAATTTTGTTACTCATGCACTTGTGTTCAAACTACTACATTCCAGCTGACTGGTAAGAAAGTGTTGGATATAGGCCTAGAAAGACAAAAATACCATCTAAATCAGGGTTCCTCAAATCTTGCCCTGGAGGGCCAATGCGCTGCAGAGTTTAGCTCCAACCCTGATCAAACTCACCTACCTGTGATTTTCTTAAGATCCTGAAGAGATTGATGAGCATGCTCAGGTGTGTTTGATTAGCTAAACTCTGCAGGAAAGTGGATCTCTTGGGCCAGATTTGAGGATCCCTGATCTAAATTATAGGCATTGCAGCATGCATGACTGGCTGCATAGATGGAATGTAGGGTAGCGGGTCAGGTCAATCCCCCCAGTCCATTTTCAGTGTGTGTGTGTGTGTGGTCTCTTATCACTGAAACACTCCCATGGTCAACAATAACTAAGGAAGCTGGTAATCAAAATCTAGCATAAATTACAGCTGCATACTTTATTGTATAGCTATTGAAGGCCAGTATCTCAGTCAGGGTGTTTCCCAGCATTTGTTGTTTAGTTGTGGATCATTCTTTCTGTTTTTCCCTTATGTTGCAAGAAGCTGGGAAAATGGTGATGTAACTCAGTTAGTAACCACTTGACAACCAGTGTGATCCAGATGGGTGTATATAAAATGTCTGTGCCTTTAAAACTGATGCATTCACACAGAAAAAAACATGTCTTTACTTTAAATGGACATAACCTCAAGTTGGGTTTCTTTTTTGACACACGAGGTGCCGGTTCCGCTTTTTCTTTCCAAGTGCTTTCAAAGAACAAGCACTCCATTGTTTTTTGTATTTAATCCTGAGAGTGAACTGACTGTGTAACGGCCATAGTGACTGAATTAGCAACGCTGAGGGATCTGAAGGGCTTCATGTCATTTGCTCTTTTTATCTTTCCCAACTCGGTTGCAGACAATTTCCCTATTTCTTTTGCATACACCTCCCAATACAAACACAATTTAAAGCTTTAATCACTCTGTGTGTCTCTCTTTCAGTACTGGCATAAAGGATGCTTTAGCTGTGAAGTCTGTAAGATGACTCTAAACATGAAGAACTACAAAGGCTTTGAGAAGAGACCATACTGTAATGCGTAAGTATCTCTGCTCTGTGAGTTTTGTGTGTTATATGTCTGCTGTTATTATGTGTTAGCTTTTTTGCGACATATTCCTCAAGTTACCATGAAATAAATGTATGTTATTTTATTATGTTTCTATGTCACTGGTGTGTTTTACTTGGAAATATGTCATAATACAAAAATAAATTCAGTCACAGCTTCCGTTTCACTGTGGCTTTAAAGTCACAAGCTGCATCCAGAATTGCATACCATCTAGTAGGTACTGTATTTGGTTTTTAAACTTACTTCACAACCATTAAAAAAGTACATTTTATTTAGTATGAATAAAATATCGACATGCTACTTCCGCCATGTTGTTAGTGTCACATGACCTACCAGAGTCAGTTGCAAGTCCTCAAAGCAATAAGCCTAAATCATCCAGGTGATTTTCGTCTATTAAGAATATAATATTAGGAATAATTCGGACCTATTATGCTTTTCACATTTTTCATCTACTATGGAAGTAGGCATATTTGGACGCAGCAACCGTCAATTGCCATTTGCAACCCTATTTTAGTTAATTAAGATATTCAACAAGAAAAAAAATCTATATATACACAGGGGTTGATATATTGAGCATTAGCTGGATTATTAAAATGTAGCCAGATAGAATGCAAGGTTTCTAAAACCATGTCTATTTGACAAGTGGCTAACTGTTTCCAGTAACTGGCTTGGCTTAAATGATGTTAGCGGAAAAAAAGAGTGTCTCAAAAGAAGAGGAAGTTAGTACATTTTGAAGATACAAAGATAGACACTGTTGTCTTTTGAATGACGTGCACTGATGAATCTTTCGCAATAAGACAAGAAACATGCATTAAGAAAGCAAACAGAGCCTATTTTGATATAATGTTATACTTTAATTGTTTCTGATTGTCCTTTGTCTCCGTTAGTGTTAGTTGATCGTGGAAAGGTCACGTCTGCGAACACAGTAGCTGACTTGTGCATGCATTCGGTCGAAGGGTATTGAAGGGAAATTCCTATTTTTAAAACAATGACCCATACACGCATACACAAATGAGTTCACTTCTCTGGAATCCACTTCTGATCACTAATAGTCTTGTGAGTCCGATACCTCAGCTATAGCATTCCTGTTGTTAAAAGGTTACCATTCATACTTCAAGTTGCAGTGTTTTAATGCAGACCGCCAGGCCTAGCATGCTGCTTTGACATGGCTAGAGTACGTTTATAAAGTCACGATGACCAGCTGGCATACAAAATATGCAAATGTCTCCCTTTTGTGAGTGCCGGTGTATCTCAAGGTCCTTATTTCTCACTCTCACACACTTCTGTAATACACCAGGGGATTGTAGTCTTTATTTAGCAAATGATTTATGTCTGTCCCTCTATCTAGATCTGCTTCTTCCACTGTTTACTCAGTCCTTATTACGAAGATAATCTGAGTAAGTGAGCATGGCAAAGTAATTTCCTCTTGCACCCAACAGATAAAGGCCTGTTTGCTTCTCAGAGTGATGGTCTGATGACACGTCCACCGGAAGTAAAAAACTGATTGGATTACGTTGGGATTGTCTTAACTGATATTAACACAGAAATCAGCTGGGATTCTTGAGTGTCATTTATCTGTTTATGTTTGCTTTCCTCTCTGTATCTATGTAATTTCAGTGTGAACTAACCACATCTCTTAGGCAAAAATAAAAGTCGTGTTTTGGACTGCCAACCTTAGGCAAAAAATATTATTAGCTGCAAGCCTGCAAATGATAATCAGCAGATCTCAGCACTCAACAATACATATTTTCACTGATGGTGCAGTCAGGTCAGGAATTTATATTTGTATTTTTACTTGCCCAAAACCTTATCTAAGTTCTCATCTTGCCCACTGATCTACATTCATTTTTATATAGATCAGTGAATTTGCCATTATGATGTCATCTAGTGACATTTAGCTACCAGTTTTAGCTACTTTCAATTGAAAGCAGTTGGCAACACTGCAACTCACACACTGGCGAGTAAAATCTGATAATTTATTAGCCATTGGCTAATATTAGACATCATCTAGTCGCCCAGAGTGAAGATTTAGTCGCATATGCGAGTGATTTACTCGCAATGTAGAGGGTTGAGTCTATATTTGGTTTACAGAGCATGTGTTGTATTATGTGGAGGTTGCCTGCAGCAACACAGCGTCTGTGTACTATACGGAGGTTTACTAAGCAGACAGGGTGTCCTCCTGTGGTAACCAGGAACAGACTGCGTTTTGATTGGCTCAGTTGTCGTGTTGTTAATATGATTCATCTGAATTCTGAATCAGCCCTGTTAAATCCTTTTGTGGCACACTATATGTTGTTATATGGTTACACGATTAACTAACTGTAGTTAAAAGATTACAGCTGTATTACAAAATGATTACGACTTTATTACCAAATATATCAATGTTGTAATTGTAATTTGTATTCTCTGTTGTACAGTTCTGTTATTTCTGGCACTCTAATTGTGTGTTGCATTGGATGATTGTGGTTGGGTTTGTCACTGTCATGCTAATTTTGTATTGCGTTGGTCTGTGAAAATAGGACAAATATGCTGCCTTGTTTACACAAGGCTCAAATGACACTTCTGCGTCTTCACTATCCCCACACAGATCAGCGATAAGCAAATGTGGACATTCACCTTCACAGTCACTAATTCATGATCTTTGTCTTTAGCAGCAAGTAACACGGATAAAAAGCATCCCGATAGCCTTGATAAGTCATTGACATGAAAAGCCCATTATTATAAAATAAAATTAACCCAAATAGTTCATGCATTAAAGGTTTTACCTAACATTTGGTGACTGGCAAAAATTATAATAATTAAAAATACAGTTTTTGGTAATTCAACTAGGAGAAATACTGAGATGTTAGTTGCAAATCTGGTTTCTAAACTGGATTTCGAATGCTGATGTTAACTAAATGGCTCTGTGTGTGTATTTCAGACACTATCCGAAGACGTCATTCACCAGTGTTGCCGACACTCCGGAGAACCTGCGCCTGAAACAGCAAAGCAAGATGCAGAGCCAGGTATGACATGACGCCAGCATTCGCATACGCTCTATACTTGCATACCACTCTGATTGTAGTCACTGTATCCAAGGTAAATCATCACCACTGTCATCCCTTACAAGTGTTGTGCTAAACCAGTGGTTCTCAACCCGCGGCCCGTCACGAATTCAAATGCGGCCCACCTTTATTTATTTCAATGAATGTAATCGATTAAATACCATAATATTTAGGCTATAATATTATAAATCAGGTTAGTTTGTATTGCTGATGTAATATGTAAATGATATGCGTGCGGCCCGCCAGACTTGCACTTGGACCATAGTGCGGCCCCGTGGAAAAAAAGGTTGAGAACCACTGTGTTAAACTAATGACATTGTCATTGGCCAAAACGCATTTGTGTGTCACTTTACTTCCTGATCAAGCACACACCCGAGTCCGAGTTGCTTTCACAGTCACGCAAACCACGCCACAGCTTCACTGCAACCAAACTCAGACTATCTTCTTCAGGTAGTCTCATGTTTGGTACCCTGGTAACAGCTTTCACATTACCATTTTTTTCATGTGAACTGTGCCCAGTTTCGAACTAAAATGCCAGTGTGAAAGCCCCCTAAAACACTGCTCTTGTGTGAGTAACAACTATGTGGCGCTCATAACATTTTGGTGTGTTATGACATTACATTAGAGGCACAAATCCCATGTTTTTTAGCGAGAACTAGGGCTGTGCAATTAATCGCATGCAATTGTCATGCGCATCTCGTCAGTAAAGCCGGTTCCGTGATTAGTAGTAAATCTCCATCACCTGCTTTCAGATGGAGCGGCATTTACTACACAGAGCTGTAGTTCACTGACAATTAGGCATTATCGCGTTCATAATCACAGGTGAATCGCATTTGATTATGAATGCGATATTGCGTAGCTTGTCAGTGAACTACGGCTCTGTGTAGTAAATGCCGCTCCATCTGAAAGCGCTAATTAAGCCCATTGCGAGAACTATTAGATACAGTATATCTGAGCAGTTATCTAAGCAACAATTAAAATCAAAACATAATGACATTTAATTCCATTTTCTCAGTTGTTACAAATATTTTTGTGTTGACTGCATTAGTAAAGATAAACCATTAAAGCCTGCTTATCTGTGTTACTGTCAGAAAAAAAGGAACAAGCAAATATTTAATTTATGGAAAATACAAGTTTATCAGTAGCTGTCATTCAACCAACATTTGTTCACAAGCTAGCCCCTACTGTATAACAGCTTCACTGAGATTAGTTTGCAACCATTTCTTGTAACATTATACTCATTTTATTGTATGATTGTTTTTGTTTATTTATGTATATCATTTACCATTCATTTATTGCTAGCTAATTACAAAATCACACAAATCAGGGTTTTCAGCTGTATTTAGACCCAAACAGATTGAATAAAATTTATAGAAAATGAAATGTCTCATAATATTGAGTTGATGTTATACACCTACTTTCACTGACCATTCATTAAAAAATAAAAATGAAGACTTTATAAGAGTTTGAGGGCCTTTTTACCCTGTGGAATGTGGAAAATGGCAAGTGTTATGATTATCCATTAACTAAGCTTCATATATGCCGATATAAAAGGAGGGAAGTATATCTGGGAACCTGTTACACATGTAATGAACAGTTATGATTAATTGGATATTTGTTACTACATTCTGTGTGTGTTTGTGTTGCAGGTGCTCTACAAGGAGGAATTTGAGAAGAACAAAGGAAAGGCCTTCAGCGTTGTGGTCGACACACCAGAGTTGCAGAGAATCAAGAAAACACAAGACCAAATCAGCAACGTAGGTCAAACACCTGTGTATTTCTCTCTTTTGACATATTACTCAGTTTTCTGTGCTTCATATTTTCTCTTTTTTAAGCTGTTAAATTTGCTTTTTGTCTTGTACCTCCCAATCTATTACTCTCCAGCAAACAGAAGGATACACAGTTTATCTATTGTAATCTCCTCTCATTGTTTATTAATGAATTGTTAACAAGAAGTAATAATTATTTGACTTTAATGAAGCACTTATTTAGTCCCACCCTTCCTCTTCGTCTTTCACACCACACCTGTTCACTGAAGTATCTGCGCTGGTTGCCTGGTAACATTTATGTCCCCAAACTTCCTTTTTGCAATGTCATTTCCTGTCAGTATGAAAGATGCAAGATGCCACTCCATTTTCTGGCTCAGGAGACACCTTGTGGATGATGCAGGAATTACTATTAGTTGTCACCCTGGCGCAGAATAAAGTTTAATTAAATTAAAACCTTTTTGCTGAAACCACCACTTTACAAAATGAAGGACTGTTTTCTGAGTGGTTTAATTATGAGAGAGCACTGCATCTGTATGCTTCGTGCATTCAGTTTTTTTTCTTCCTCACCTCAGTTTCCTGCAGTTAATTTAGTCTGAACCGCTAACCCAAAGAGCCCACCACTGTGGAAGAAATTCACTCAGTTTGAGGGTGTGTCTGTAAAATGGACAGCAGTGTTGTTGTCTTCATTGGGCTCTATGATTGATTTTAGTACACTGTCAGTGAAGTTATCATACACTACTATTCAAAGGTTTGGGGTCCGATTTGTAATTTTTTCCAGCAAGGGTGAAAAACAAAACCGATAAAAAGTGACAGTACATGATATTATATAAATATTAACGTATCAAAGAATCCAAAAAAGTGTAATGTTTTTCACAAAGATATTAAGCAGCACAACGGTTTTAACATTAAAAATGATAAGAAATGCATCTTCAGCCCCAAATCGGTAATTAGACTGATTTCTGAAGGATCATGTAACACTAAATATTGGAGTAATGATGCTGAAAATTCTGCTTTGCATCGCAGGAATGAATTACATTTTGAAATGTATTCAAATACAAAACTTTCCTTTTAAATTGTAATACATTTTTACAAAATGTATGTTTTTACATTGTTTTTGATCAAATAAATGCAGCCTTGTTGAGCATAAGCTTGAAAAACAAAGTCTTACAGACTCCAAACGTGCATGATTACCAACTTGCATAATAGATACATATTACAATAACTTTTGTTCTTGTTATTATTTTTATTATATGTATGTTTTTGTATATTTGTACATATTTATTTATATATATAATTTTCAAACAAAACTGTTATATAATTGTTTTGAAATGATATATATGACTGAATTGTGAAATTGAAATGTTTCCTCTTGCCATGAATATAGCCACTGCTGCTGACATGGCGTTAAATCATAAATAATAATACATATTACAATATCAATTTAACATGTTTTAAACACATTAGCTACATTTATTTGTGCTTGTATTGATATTTTTTTTCTGATGGCCTGATTGGGACAGTAGTTCATTTTTTGTTCTTGCCCTGCCAACATTTTAACTAGCTTTGCTGCATTACAAATTATTATACAATATAAAATGATACATTTTTTATCTGTCATAAAAATGTAATTAAAATATTTCACCTTTGCTTTACAACAGAGGCTTTGCTGACAATTTTACAGCTGTTATCTTATACACATTTTTATTGGAAATTGTCATATGGTTGCGTATGTTTATAATTTTCAACCTGTCTTAACAGCTCCAAGACATCTGCTCCTTATAACAAATAATTCTCACAATTTTCACTGTGTTATCCAGCTAAATAATGTTACATGGTTGACATATTTAGCAGAATTCACAACAACGTTGTGAATGTTTGTACGTATGTTTATGTAAGTCTGTTTTGTCACACTGTATATGTCTCCGTGTGTTTTAGATCAAGTACCATGAGGATTTTGAGAAGGGCCGGATGGGAGGGGAAGGCCCGCCTCAGCACCCACAAACACCTCAACAAAACACAACTCCAGGTACACTTTCGCTTGTTGTCTGTTCTTCTGGAAGATCATGAACATCTCAGTTTCACATGGGCCATAAAATAATCACATTTTTCTCTGGTAGCATATCAGCCCTCGGCAGCATCTCAGAACTATCACTTTGAGACTAAGCCCGTGCTTCAGGCCGCTGCCGCCCCTCCTCCCAGCTCTGGGGTAATAAACTCTCTCATACACACTGTCCTACACACTCCTTCTTTTCAAGCCCTTACAGTCGTCTTTGCATTTGTGTGTGTGTGTTGCAGAAGCGCTACCGAGCGGTGTATGACTACACCGCAGCTGATGAGGACGAGGTGTCGTTCCTGGATGGTGACATGATCATGGATGTGCAGCAGATCGATGAGGGGTGGATGTACGGAAGAGTGGAGCGCACCGGCCAGCAGGGGATGCTGCCGGCTAACTATGTAGAGGCCATCTGAACATAAATAGAGAAAGGGGGAAGGGAGGAAAAGAAAAAGAGGGGGTTGCGGCAGAAAGACAGATGATTAGCCGAGTGCCATCTCACCTTTCAAGATCTCATCTTTTTCCTCTTCTTTTCCTGCACTAACTGTCCTATCAGGGGTCGGCCTCTATGACCCGGTTATGATCCAAAACAAACATAGTTCAGTACGTAATCCTTTGCAGCTTATAATTGTAATGTATCCAGTACAGTTTCACATCTCATCGGCTGTGGGTCTATGAGTAACAATTCTTGATAATGAGACTTCTGGTCATTCCAGTTTTCATTCCATACGTCTGACCATTTGCATCATGTGTTGGAACTGGAATCTAGAAAAGGCTCCTCTTTTTCAACTGGACATTCCTTAAACTGTATGAAAAGGACGGAGCCTTTTGATACTTACATATTCACTTAAGCTCCTTCACATTCCTCTAGCCCTTTACAGAATTACTTCTAATATATGAGTGTCATTTTGTTCTGCAGCTCTTGCTTTTAAAAATGCGAGAAAATAGTGATGTATTTTGTTCTTCATAAAGGGAAAAAAATAGAAACTATATAGTCACTTAGCAAGCGAGGAGCAGAACAGCATTGTAGAATAGTGAGAGGGGTCGGCCTCTATGACCCGGTTATGATCCAAAACAAACATAGTTCAGTACGTAATCATACACGGCAACAGCGCATACACGCACTCGCATAAATAGTGAATGATTTACTACTTCCACCCATCTTTTTCTCTCTGTCTATTGCTTTTGCTGTCTATCTGTCTGACTGTTTGTCTTTTTAGTAAGTGTTTCCTCAGTCCTGGAAAGGTGCTGTCACAAGTGGCGCTTAAATCTTAACAAGACTCTCATACACCAACCTTCAAAATACATGACCACACAGGCCTCTAAAATATTTAGGGCCTGCTATAGAGCACTTCGCAGACATCTCAACACACTTATCTTATCAGTTGCTATGACAATTTGTGAAAGAATCTGGTCCGAACTTCAGTTGTCAAATTTTTATATATTATAAGAATAATGAGAGAAGAGAGGAGCCCAAGCACAATTCTATGGACCATTTTAGCTTTGGATTTTAATCATTCCATTTCGGTTCTGGAACATTCCATGTGCATTGTATCAAACTGTATCTCAGAGCTGTTCTGTAAGACGTTGTTATTAATGTTTTTGTTTTTTCCTCATATCATTGCTTATTCTCATTGCCTTGCTGGTATTGTACAAGACGGAATTTTAATGTCAATTTATCAATATCAGTGGAATAAAAAAATCTATTTGTATACCAAGGCAAGCGGGTTTGTCAAACGGACGGAGTTGTTAATGGTATTCGAATGTTTTAGAGCTTTGCGTGTATTTCTCTCTAACTGGAAACAGTGTTACTGTGCAAAGACTCTTAATGAGATTCTACTGATCATTGTTCTCTAAAATGCCAAAATATAGATGCAGAGAATGATCAAAGTAAGTGTTTTGCTTTCTCAAGACACTATTTTCACTATTGCTACTTCAAAGGTATAATATCTGGGTTACTCATTTGATTTTTACTCTTCTGTAAAACATATTCTCCAGAAATCTTCCATATCTATCAGTCCACTGTCACTAGTGTTTCTCCAGTTCTGTACAGCACCCCCTCAAACACTTTATTCTGCACATTATAACCATTTCATATTTACAAAGCTGCTGCATTCAAAGGTTTGTGGGGTCTGTAAGATTTTTTAAATGATTTTGAAAAAAAATGTCTTGTACTCGCCAAGACTGCATTCATTTAATCAAAAATCTAATGAAAACTAATATTGCTCAATATTATTACAATTTAAAATTAGTTTTAATTTCATGTATTCCTTTGATGGTAAAGCCTAATTCTCAGCATCATTACTCAGTTTTCTTCAGGTGTCACATGATCCTTCAGAAATCATTCTAATATGATTATTAGAAACATTTATCATTATTATCATGTTGAAGCAGTTGTGCTGCTCAATATTATAACATCAATTAATATTACAATATTATAAATGTCTTTACTGTCACTTTTGATTGATTTTAATGCATACTTGCTGAAAAAAAGGATCAATTTCTTAATTTAATGTACTTTTACCTTTCTAAAACATTTATGCAGTGCAGAGTTTTTTTTTTGGGTAAGACATCTAAGGGATACAACAAGATATGTAAATATCCTAAAGTTATCCAAGATCTTTTTCTTTTTCATCTTTTTATTCCAATGCATAAATCTAACAATTTTAGCTCAAGCTCAAGTAGATTGTTCTTCTTTGGTGGAAAATCTATGACAGTATAATATATCGTCTCATTGTTAGTAATGGTCATTAATAAATGACAAATCACCCAAAAAAATAAACGGCAAGGATTTTGAAAAGGTGGAAAATATGGAGGGGAATATGACACTCGTGTCAAAAAAAGCCTTGTGAGTATGTGTAAACTCAATGCTTGCCCTCATGCAAGTCATGCACTGTAAAGAAAATAAATAGTTGAGAAAACGTAAAAAGAAAATAAGGTGACTTGATGCAGTAAGACTTGTTTGAGTTCTCTCAACAATAGTTTTTTTTTTAGCTCTAAGTAAAGATACTTTGTTTAGCCAACGTAAATTTGTTTGTTCATGCGATGCTGATTGTCTTATTTTACTAAAAGAAAAATTCTTGTCACATAAACTGAAACAACAATTACTGTCGTTGAGGTAGTTTATTTTCTTCTGTTTCCTGGATGAAAAAAAAGAATGTGTAAGAAGTCACCACATTATCAATTTTGTTTATTAACCGATGACAAACGGTGAACCGTTTTAGAAATCTTAATGGATATCTTAATATAATGTGTAAGTACACAACACTGTCTTCATTCGTAAATTATCTTACAAGACCATAAAATCTATAAAATGGATTCAGTTGGTTGAACATACTTTAGGCCTCAAAACTAGACACACAATTAAGAAGAATTAAGACACACAATTAAGAAAGGTGGCAATCAACAATTGTTAAAAAGATTAGCTCTTTACATCACAGTACAACAAATAACTAAATAATGACAAAATAACAACAAAAAAGTTTAAATGAAGTCAACAAACAGCAAAATAATCCTATAACAGTAGCTGCATACGCATATTCATGCTGCAATGCATGCTGGGAACTCACAAAGCCTTAACATTTCAACAATATAAAAATTATTTGTTCAGAAAACTGTGTTCGCCTAGTTGGGACAACATTTGGGGTGATTTTGTTGGCCTGACAAGGGTTTGTATGTAGTTTTAAGAAAATGGAATTTCGTAAACTGGAAAATATGCAGTTGCATTTTTTACAGTGTGGTTCTCCATCTAAACATGCGTTTGAAGTCAAAACTCCTGAGAATCAGACACGTCCCTCTCAATTTTCAAATGTAACGCAATTGTCTAACTAATTTAATCTCTTATCCCTGATAATCACTCAAATTCTAAAGGTCCCATATAAAATATGACTTTTTATTATTATTATTATGTAGTTGCCTTCATCTTTCCGAATAGTACAGCCTGGTTTGCTCCTAATAAGCCAAGTCTGCACGCTACAAAAGAGGAAGAATCTTATTTCCAGCGCTTGGCCCCATTTACTGCTGGCTGCATCTTTCTCGAAGGGAGGAGGAGGGTCTCCAGTCCAGTCCAGCGGACACAGCCGTCATCGAGACCGAGCATCCTGCGCATCTTTTGGACCCGCTGCTCCGTGAGCATCATGCTGGATGTGCTGCTGTTGATGTTCTTCGCCATCATCGGCCTTGTGTTGCTGTCCTACATCATCTACGTGCTCTGATCTGATCACGGCAGCACGGATGCACCGCCCTGAGAGCGGACGCGTGATCCACGGGAGCCGTCTGAGCTCAGAGGTTGGCGATGGATTTCTAGCTAATTGTATTTTTATTTTATTTTTTACATTTCATCGAGAAAAATAGCATTCATTGTGTTGTTTATGTCAGCTGTACTTGATGATTTTGGAATTGCAGAGCGAAGTAAGGCAGGTTTTGGTTATGGTTAAATAATACAAATGAATGATGAAGCCTATTTTTTCAAAATGTGCATAGGCCTGCAGCAAAATAATAATAATAATAAATAGCACAATACATAATGTTGAGAATATTACTAGGCCTCTTTCTATGCGTGACCACAGATGAAGGTGTAGCCTACCTGATCATGTTGTTGTGCTCATATTTGCCCTACATGTTGTTACAGGAAGAAGCTTAATGGGATCATGGTGTGAATTCACTGGAGGATACACTTACAAGATGAGACTTCACCCATCTCTGTGTCACACAAACACTGTTCCTGTAGCATAGCAGCTGACACAAACCCTACACCACGCTATTGTTTCTTCCCTTTCATTTAGAAGACACTGTTCAAATGTATTTTCCCCAAAACAGGCTGAAACAGTAGCACTAAACCCCAAGATCTATGGATGTCTGGCTATTATTTTTCTTTTTCTGTTCCTCTGTGTAGAATTTCTGCAAATAACTGTTTACAAACTCCCAGTGTAATGGACACTATTATCAAATTCATGTATTTTGTCAAAGGATGTTCATGAATTACCGATTTTCAAAATAAAGAGACTTTGTGAGGATGAAACTGCTTTTTGTGTGGAATCATTCATGTGTTATGATTCTTGAATGTATTAAACTGATGATCAAACAGTCTATGGAAATATTATGTATATAAATAAGTTGCCACATACTGGTGTGTCATCGCGGATAGGGGGTATAGCTCAGTGGTAGAGCATTTGACTGCAGATCAAGAGGTCCCCGGTTCAAATCCGGGTGCCCCCTACAGTTGTTTTGAGAAAATACATATGCGTAATATAATTGCATATCTGTAAATATTCCGTGAGCAAACAAGCCATCCGCGCTCGTAACATAACCAGACGAGACTGACAAACGAAAATGAAGACACATTTAAACTTCAGTCAGGTGATTCGTTTGGTTTTCAGCGATGCTGGACACAGATAACCAATAGGGAGCAGTATGGGACAGCAGATGAGAGAGTGCCACGTAGACAATAAAAAAGAAATATGAAGAATTACAGCGACATCCAACGGCACCACATACATTAACCCTCTCAACCATCCGGGTCATCCTAAACACCTTGTTAAATATATATGTGGATTCAGATTTCCCTCAGTCAAATCAGCCACATACTGGAATAAT